TGTAAAGTGTGGGGTCAGGAGAGTGTGTGTGAGTTTGGGTAGGGGGGTAGAGAGTGGGAGAGTCACTGACAGTGGGGACCTTGCTGAGGAAGCTCACTGCCATCAGAAAGAAACTGTTCCTGTGGCGAGTGGTTTTGGTCCTGCTGGACCGCAGCCTCCTGCCAGAGGGGAGAGTCTGAAACAGTTTGTTTCCGGGGTGATAGGGGTCAGCTGCAATCTTTCCTTCACGCCTCAGAGTCCTGGAGGCGTACAAGTCCTGAAACGAAGGAATATTGCAGCCAATCAACTTCTCTGCAGAGCGAATGATACCAGATGGTGATGGAGGAGGTGAGGATGGACTCAGTGATGGCTGTGTAGAAGTGCACCATCATTGTCTTTGGCAGGCTGAACTTCTTCAGCTGCCGCAGGAAGTACATCCTCTGCTGGGCCTTCTTGGTGATGGAGGTGATGTTGAGTTCCCACTTGACGTCCTGGGAGATGATGGTGCCCAGGAAGCAGAAGTGGTGACTGGGGTGATGGGGGAGGGTGAGCATACTGCATACTGTGGTTGCCAGTAGTATGTAATATAGTCCAATAGTCCAAGTTTTTGGTATCACAATGATCTGAATGGATTACCTCTCCTATTTTTGTCATAGCTGGATGTTTTGCAGCACTGGCCAAAATTTTTAACCAGCATGCCTTATTTTTGGTCCAGAATGCATCATGTTAAGTCAGCGATGGACAGCGACGCATGAAGTCAAACGCACCTATTCACTACTGAATAGACTTTCATTGTAAAGCCGCCTACAGCACACCATGTGGTGACAAATGATATACTGCAGGAGGCTGTTGTCTGTTCTTAAAGAGGTGATATTATACTCATTTTCAGGTTCAAAATTTTATTTAGGGAACACCTTACCAGAACAGTTTTACATGATTTAATTTTCAAAAAACACCATATTTTACTGCACATTGCTGAAGCTCCTCTTTTCACCTTATGTGTATTTGTACGCTCCGCTCTTGAGCTACAGAGTGATGCATCTTACTTGTACAAAATCTTTGTTGGGAGTTGCACACGCGCAATTCCCAGGTAAGGACTATTAGCCAATCAGAAGCAGAGAAGGGCGGGTCGTAAGAAAAAAGGTAGTGTGATCCAAATCAAAGCCGCTTCAGAGTGAGACCGTAACCTAGAAGATGGTATAAGTTACTCACAAGTCCACAACCACACAACGTCATTGTTCCACATCTTACCATAAGGACTAAACGTTGAACTGTTGCCGGTGTTCTGACGATCTAAGCTGCCTTGCCGAAAAATGCTACCATAGCGCAAATCGATAGACTCGACTCTACTCGGCCCTGCTCCGTTTTCCATCGCAGATAGTACCCAGAGATAGTACCCAGAGATAGTACATAGCGGGCGGCTGGCCGCCCTCACAGGCTCCTCCTGCGGGTTGGCACAGGCTTCCACCGCAGACACTTGTGGAGCCCCTCAACTCCGAAAATATTCATCACATTTTTGTTCCGCCATCACTTCTCTTAAAACTGTCAATATTTAAAATCTACACAGCTGATTTCTCACCTCAAAACTTCTCAGAAGTGGATTTAGTGTTTAAATTCCAAACGAAAACTGTAAAATATAAAACTTTCTGTTGCTGTCTGGCACATGCAATGATGATGCAGTGAATAGTGAATATTCTCTCTAACCAGTCAGCAGTCTGTCGTGTTTTCACGTTACATTTTAGTGTCCGTCAGCTCGCTTGGAACCTCGATGGAGGTGAGGTGATACGAAAAAAAGTACCTGGAAGCAGGTACAACATTTCTACAATGGAAACCCAAACAAAGGTGAGTGGAGCCAAAGGGCCTCCGCTCAGACTAGCTTTGTTTGAGGGCGTGCCTGACCCCGCTAGCCGCTTGGCAAGCTTTATGACGTCTTTTCATTGTGACGTCACAAGCACAGGAAGTGAAGGGCTGGACTATAAAGGAGCTGTTTTCAAGCGGTTCAGAGCAGAGCTTTCTGTGGGAGATGGGAACTCCCTTTGGGCTGGACTTTGGGCTTTTTCACTTTGCAAACCTGTTACATGCACAAAAAAGATATATAACTCAATAAAGGAGAGGGGAAAAGCCAAAAAAGCTTAATACCACCTCTTTAAAATACTGCTGAATATTCTGAATTTACACCCGTTCATTAAGTGAGAAAAACATCTTTAAACAATAGTAAAATATAGTTTGGCTTTAAAATAGCTTAATTTTTTTTTTATAAATATTTGCTTTTAATAAAGAACAACTCATAATGATAAGGATATATTATTTAATTTTAAATAATATAAGCTTTTTTTCACCTCAGTGGTGGTGAGTCTTGAAGATTTGGACAGCACAACATTTACTGCAACTACAGATAAAACAGTTCCTTAGATATTTTCATTTATTAAATTAACCCTCCTATTGTGTTGGTTTCCTATGATGATTCCCAACAAAAATTATCAGGTCTGTTTAACTGTTAAGTCAAACAAAGCATAAATCCCCACCAACTTCATTTCATTATTATTAAGTTCTGCATTATTTTTGGAATTTATGATGTTCAGACCTCTGACATACAGTCCCCTCCAAAAGTATTGGAACGGTGAGGCAAATTCCTTTGTTTTTGTTGTTCACTGAAGACATTTGGGTTTAAGATCAAAAGATGAGTATGAGACAAGAGTTCAGAATTTCAGCTTTTATTTCCTGGTATTCACATCTAGATATGTTAAACAACTCAGGACATACAGTGCCACTGTTTGTATTAGACCACAGCACTCTTAGGTGAGCAAAAGTAAAGGAACAAATAATCTTAAAGTAAATAAATTTAATATTTGGTGGCATAACCCTTGCTTGCAATAACTGCCTCAAGCCTGCGACCCATCGACATCAAACTGTTGCATTCTTCATTTGTGATGCTATTCCAGGCTTTTATCTCAGCTTCTTTCAGTTCTTGTTTGTTTCGGGGTGTTTCTCCCTTCAGTCTCCTCTTAAGGAGGTGAAATGCATGCTTTATTGGGTTAAGGTCAGCTGACTGACTTGGCCAGTCTAAAACCTTCCACTTTTTCCCCTGATGAAGTCCTTTGTTTTGTTGGCAGTGTGCTTTGGCTCGTTGTCATGCTGCATGATAAACTTCCTCCCCATTAGTTTCAAAGCATTTCTCTGTAAATTGGCAGACAAAATGTTTCTGTACACTTCTGAATTCATTCTGCTGCGACCATCATCAGTTACATCATCAATAAATATTAATGAGCCTGTTCCAGAAGCAGCTATGCTCGCCCAAGCCGTGACATTACCTCCACCATGCTTCACAGATGAGCTTGTATGCTTCGGATCTTAAGCAGTTCCTTTCTTTCTCCACACTTTGGCCTTTCCATCACTTTGCTAGAGATTCATCTTGGTTTCATCAGTCCATAAGATTGTGTTCCAGGACTTTTGCAGCTCATCTCTGTACTTCTTTGCAAATTTCAGTCTGGCCTTCCTATTCTGTCCTAGTCTATCCTTCCTGCTGAGAGTGGTTTGCATCATTTGGTGTGGCCTCTATATTTCTTCTTCTTCTTTCAACAGTGGATTGTGATACCTTCACCCTGCACTGTGGAGGTTGTTGGTGATGTCACTTCCTGATGTTTTGGGGGTTTTCTTCACAGCTATCATGATATTTCTGTCATCAACTACAGTTGTTTTCCTTGGCCGACCTGTTCGACGTCTGTTGCTCAGTACACCTGTAGTTTCTTTCTTTTTAAGGACGTTTCGAATTGTTGTGCTTGCTCTGCCCAATGTTTGTCCAATGGCTCTGGTCGATTTTCCTTCTTTTCTCAGCTTGACAGTGGCTTGCTTTTCTCCCACAGACAGCTCTCTGGTCTTCATGTTGGTTTATCCTCTTTAACAGGAAATGCAGTCTTCATAGGTTTGAACCAAGGATGAAAACTTAGACCAGTCATGCAGAGATATTTAATGTTTGGACAGTCAACCTAAAAGGCAACACCTGGGAAACAAGAAACATCTGTCAGTCACATGTCCCAATAGTTTTGCTCACTTGAAAAATGGGTGGGTTCAAACAAAGGGTGGTTTGTCCTGAGTTGTTTAACACATCTAGATGTGAATACCAGGAAATAAAAGCTGAAATTCTGAACTCTTGTCTCATAATCATCTTTTGATCTTAAACCCAAACGTCTTCAGTGAACAACAAAAACAAAGGAATTTTCCTTACTGTTCCAATACTTTTGGAGGAGACTGTAATACGAGTTTTTAAGTAGAAGAAGTACAACTTACATTTCATCTGGTCTACAGTCAAAATAATATGTATCATAGACTGGGATCTGTTTAACCAGCACACTGTTTTGAAATCATCTTAAAAAAATATTTGTCCCATTCAAAACCTGAATGATGTGATTTTATTCATGACAACTTATTTCCAAATGAACATTTAAAAAAAAAAAATCAGATAGATGGTGGGGGTGTGGGGGTGTATGGGGAAGTTTTCCATCTGCTGTTTAAATATGATATAGTCTCTCATATCAATTTACGATGGCAGGTAAATTTTTCTTGGAACACCAGAGATGAGTTTAAATAAAACCATTAAAAATCAATTAAAGTGGTCATCATAAATTTGATGTATTGAAATGCACAGTGTGGAGGAATACATAAAGCCTTTGCTCAATTAGATGAAATATACTTCAGTCATTTATATATATTGCCCAGAACACAACAGGAGGGTTAAACTAAACCAAATGCTGTCGGACACTCGAAAACTTTGAATAGAAAGATCCATTTGAGGTTTGAATCACATCGCTCGTGTAAAATCTCTCTTTAGGTTCTATAGGATGGACATTTTCTCTAGGTGCTCCCAACAATTATAATGTTCAGTATTATTTAACAGTATTAAAGCTAAAGTTCTAGGCCAATTAAACTCACACAAACAAGAGATATAATACTGACCAGCTTGTTTCAATGCTTGAGGCTTTTAATTTTGCATAAGACAAGAAAGAACAGTTCACTCTGCAGAATAAAGTTGTGCTAAAAGCTTTCTTTTCATTACACATTCAGTCTGCTCGTATTAAAGAGACAGAGACAATCCAGCTGCTGTTTATGTCACTTGTCGCTTCTTTCCTTAAGTAGCGTTACAGCGATAGAGAAGAAATAAAGATGTAAATCGAGATAAAGAGAATTCAGGTCAAATATGAGACTGGTGGCTGGAGAGAGACGAATTTCCTCTCAGATACACAAACACATGCTTTTATCATTCCTCTCTGACACAGATAGATGGGAACTGCCAATCACAATAGAGGTCATCCCAGCATTTCGAGTCTATAAGAACCAAAAATACAGCAGTCAGACAGCAAACCTGAAACTGTTGAATGAAGCATTATGTAGACAGATCATTCATCCTGGGATATATTGTCCGTTTGAACATCATCACTCACAGTTACTCTTTATTGTTGTCATTACAACACCACAGTTTCTATGACTACATTAATAGGTTACTAATAAATCTCAAAATCAATCGTGTACATTTTGTAGGTTAGGATGTAATACCATGTATTTGTAACTACAAGTGCAAAAAATATTAAAATTGTAATTCACCAGCCTTTTCTTTGATATTCATCCTGTCCAGTTTACAACAATTATACACTGAGCTCTCATTGAAAATAATGTTTTATTATTTACCTCTAAAATTAAAACCAATACAGTTCTGACGACCACCAGCGTTATCAGGCTGTCCAGGACACCACTGAGTAAAGTGGAAAGGCGTTCCGTCACTCCAGAACCACAGTGACTCCTTGAGCACAGAAGAGAATATTGAACGTTTAAAAGACAATAATTATTTAATCAAATAACTTTTGCACATTATGTAAATGACAAATAATATACCTGTTGTCCATCAGACCCTCCAAGCCAAGCTATTACTTGATTTTGAGTGTTGCTCAATGTCATCACCGCCTGAATCACACCGGACTCCTTGGAGTTTTGAACAGATGCGAGGTTTCCACCCAAAGAGTGACAGTTTCTCTACAGAGGAGGAAGAAGTGTAGAAAGTAGTGAACAGAACAAACATTGTGTGGAAGGTTCACTGAATAAAGATAATCCCCATTACCTCAGCCACAGCCCAAATCATGGGTTGTTGAACGAAGAGATAACATCGACCGTCAAAAGGAGTCCAATCTTTTGGACATGATGTGGACCTCTTGACAACATGATTCTCTTCTGTCATACAAAAGAGTGGACAGTGAGTCTACATTAGCAGTAGATAAATGCAGTATTTCTGTTTGTTTACAGGAGAACATCATGACAAATTGTACTTTAATATAATTCTTATAAAGTACCGACTGACCTGTTGGACTGAACGAGTTGGTCCAGTTTCCAGCCTCTGCGTCTGGAAGAACTGCACAGTTTGACATAGATACTGATTTAAGTTGTCTGCTGTTTACATTGTTTATTTATGAATACATTTAATTACACATGAACATAAGCTGTCTCTCTTTCACACTCACTCACATATGGAGTAATACTCACCAGCAGCTCTGGTCAGAGCCATCATGGCACAAAGAAGTGCAGACAGAGTCAGCGTCTTCATGGTGGAGATGATGCAGATGTTGAAGATGATGATAACCTTTAATAAAGACAGACAGGGACATGTTAGTAATACTTCTCTAGGGAAGAGACCACCTGTAGTGGCAGTCAGGTCAACCTATAATGACAGTTTGTGAGCAAACCTGCTGCAGAACGATCTTCTCTTCTTCCTTCTCAGCGTCTGTAGCTTCAGTTGTCCTGTCTGGAGCTGCTGAACCAGAGAAACTCTTATACAGTTCATGACGGATCTTGCCAGGAACTGAGGATGCAATCAATTATCTTGCCACCTCACAAAACCAGAAACTAAAGACAAAACACACAACCAGAATACACATTTACAGGCACCATGTCCAGCTTAAAGTTTTGTTTGCACAATGTTTGTAACCACCAGAGCTGTGAAATATGATCACAAAAGAAACATACTAGATCATTTTGAAGTGGAACTCAAACTATCAAATGACGTATTTGACATTGGCATTGTTTCAATTCACTGATATTTATGTAGTGAGCATTTTGCAGAGCATCCATCACTTTAATTATTATATTATTATTATTATGTTTAAATGTAAAGCCTGTGTTCAGTACAACTCTGAGAGACAGAGCACAGGAAGTGAGTGAAGTGAGCTATCACTAAGGCTTGTTCTGCTTTGATTTGTCTGATAACACAAGATGCAGATGTCTGATGACTATAGTCCTTCATACAGTTAAAAGATGTAGTTACAAATGACCAAGATCTAAAAATGGTATCGTAAAAATGTACCTGCATTTCAAAATGTAAGGAGTTGAATGTGTTTTAGAGATGTGATTCCCTCTGAATATCTTTTTCTTTGAGTTGATCCAATCAGTTACCGACAGTTATCATCTTTTATCACTCTTCACTAGTTCACATGTCGTTTACTCCTTTGTATTTTAAGAATATTAGCCTCCAGTGTCGCTACTATTAGTTCTGTAGAGATATAAAAAGCTCTGACTGACTCCTGTGCTGGATGTTTTACTGTTACAGCAGTAGCTCCGCAGCTGACACGGATATATATTGTACTGACCAAACATCAGAAGGATATATGATAGTGTGTATGTTTGCGAACTTACCTGTCTTTATGTCTTTATTTTTTAATGAGCTGCCTTTTGGTTACACTACAGAAGGGATGAAGATGTCAAACATGGTTTAACACAATGGATTTTCAAATGCTCTTTATCTGTCATTTTTTTAATGCAGTGCTACCCTTCTCAATTCCTAAAAAAGTATAGTAGGATTCATCAGAAGGAATTACTTCTTGACCCTGTAATGGCTGTTAGCTGGGTGAACTGTAATTCTGTTAAGGATACAGGTGTTTGGAAATATATTTCAGATTCATGTTTGCTACACTCTAGTCAACAAACACACAAACCAGTATTTTATTCTTCATACCATGTAAATTATGCTCTAAAGGCTGGTGTGCTGTTCTGTCTCGTGTTCTTACAATTTTATAGCAGTAGACAAATATTTTCAATTAGGAGATAACAGAATTTACTTTGTAGTGTTTGTTTTGGGCTGCTGTCACATGAGCCTTGTTCAACATGTGGAACTATATCAGGGCGTTGTTGGATGACGCCAACAGTGGATAAATAATGGTCTTACACAAAACCATAAACAGCCTATTGTACAAACACAAACATTAGCATATTGATGGATAATTTATTTATATCCTTTGCTTTATTAAAAATATTAATGCCTCACTTAAAAATACTCACAAAAAAAGCACTGTATATTTAAAATGTTAAGTAAAAATATGTAAGTAAAATTGGGAAAATGTACTCAATGTAGAAAGAAATATGTCCCCTGTGACTGTTATACTAATATATATTATATCATTTGATTAGTATTACTATACTACTGAAGTAGGATTATACAATCATATATCACATTTTTTAAACTCTTCATATTTTGTGTGTAAAAATTTTACTTTGTAAAGTTACTGAAACTGTTAGACAAATGTAGTGAAGTAAAAAGTACAATATTTCCCTCTGAGATTTAGTGGAGTAGAAGTACATGAAAAGAAAATACACAAGTAAAGTACAAATACATTTAATTTTTACTTAAGGACAGTACTTGAGTTAACCATCACTGAATATTAGCAAACACACTATTAGGACAAAATATTAAGAGTTTATAGAGTGCACCAGGGACGTCACTAGGATTGAAAGACAGGGGGGGCTTGGCCCCCAGGGTATGCGTAAATTGTGCTTGCAAAATATTTGCACGCACATCTTTTGTTACTGGATTAGAACTACACTTACACTATATTATAGTTTATTGTTGCCTGCCTGTACATGCACATGAAGGTTAATGACATCCCATTCTTAATCCGTAGGGTTTAATATAGAGTTGGCCCACCCTTTGCAGCTATTACTCTTCTAGGAAGGCTGTCCACAAGATTTAGAAGTGTGTTCATGGGAATTTTTGACCATTCCTCCTAAAGCGCTGAGGTCAGGCACAGATGTTGGACAAGAAGGCCTGGCTCGCAGTCTCCACTCGTTAGTCATGGAGTTCCACAAGGATCTGTCCTCGGACCAATCCTCTTCACTTTATATATGCTTCCTTTAGGCAATATTATCAGGAAATATTCCATAAGCTTTCATTGTTATGCAGATGATACTCAGTTATATCTATCGATCAAGCCAGATGAAACTAATCAGTTAGCTTAACTTCAAATGTGCCTTCAGGATGTTAAAACCTGACCTGTAATTTTCTAATGTTAAACTCAGAGAAAACTGAAGTTATTGTTCTGGGGCCTAAGCACCTCTGTGACGCATTATCCAAAGATATAGTTTACCTTGATGGCATCGCCCTGGCCTCCAGCACCACTGTGAGGAATCTTGGAGTTATCTTTGATCAGGACATGTCATTTAAGTCTCACATTAAGCAAATTTCAAGGATCGCCTTTTTTCACCTACATAATATTGCGAAAATCAGGAACATCCTGTCTAAAAATGATGCAGAAAAACTAGTCCATGCATTTGTTACTTCTAGGCTGGATCACTGCAATTCCTTATTATCAGGCTGCTCGAAAAAAGTCCATTAAGACTCTTCAGCTGATCCAGAATGCTGCAACACGTGTTCTGACAGGAACCAGGAAAAGAGATCATATTTCTTCTGTTTTAGCTTCTCAGCATTGGCTTCCTGTAAAATCCAGAATAGAATTTAAGATCATTCTTCTTACCTACAAAGCTCTCAATGGTCAGGTATCATCTTATCTTAAAGAGCTCATAGTACCTTACTACCCCACCAGAGCACTGCGCTCCCAGAATGCAGGGTCACTTGTGGTTCCTAGAGTCTCCAAAAGTAGACTAGTAGCCAGAGCGTTCAGCTATCAAGCTCCTCTCCTGTGGAACCAGGTTCCAGTTTGGGTTCAGGATTAGTTTCATCTGGCTTGATCGATAGATATAACTGAGTATCATCTGCATAACAATGAAAGCTTATGGAACATTTCCTGATAATATTGCCTAAAGGAAGCATATATAAAGTGAAGAGGTTTGGTCCGAGGACAGATCCTTGAGGAACTTTGGCATGAATGGAGGACTCATCGTTAACATGTACAAACTGAAATCGATCTGATAAATAGGACTTAAACCAGCTTAGAGCAGTTCCTTTAATGCCAATGAAATGACAATGGCAAGTCCTTTGTCTGATGCAATAAGGAGGTCATTAGTAATTTTCACCAGTGCTGTCTCTGTGCTATGATGAGCTCTAAATCCTGACTGAAAATCCTCAAATAAACTATTGCTCTGTAGAAAGTCACACAGCTGTTAAGCAACTGCTTTAGAGAGAAATGGAAGGTTAGATATAGGTCTATAGTTGGCTAAAACATCCGGATCAAGTTTGGGCTTTTTCAGAAGAGGTTTAATTACAGCTACTTTAAAGTACTGTGGTACATAGCCTGTTGTTCAAGATAGATTGATCATATCTAGTATAGAAGTACTGACTAAGGGTAAAACTTCTTTAAGCAGCCTTGTCGGGATGGGGTCTAAGAGGCAGGTTGATGGTTTAGATGAAGAAATTATTGAAGTTAGTTGGTAAAGATTGAGGGAAGCAAAACAGTCTAAACAGTCTATATATCTGGTTTTACAGCTGTTTCTAAGGTTCCTGAGTTTAGAGATAAGTCGGTGCCAGTTCAGGGCAGGTCTTGGTGAATTTTGTTTCTAATAGTTAGAATTTTATCATTAAAGAAGCTTGTGAAGTTGTAACTATTGAGAGCTATGGGAATACTTGTTTCAATAGAGCTGTGACTCTCTGTCAGCCTGGCTACAGTGCTGAAAAGAAACCTGGGGTTGTTCCTATTTTCCTCTATTAATCACGAGTAGTTGTGCTCAGGCATTACGGAGGGCCTTCCTATAAGTTTTAAGAAAATTAAACAAGAATTTTCCAGTTTGGTGGAACACCAATTCCTCTCAAGTTTCCGCGATATTTGCTTTAATTTGCGAGTTTCAGTATTATACCATGGAGCTAACCGTCTTTTTGTTTTAGTATTTTCTTTTTTAGAGGGGCTACAGTCGAGTGTCATTCGCAGCGAGCCTGCAGCACTATAAACAAGATGATCAATTTGTATGGGATTAATATCCTGTCTTGATTCAAAACTGAAAATGAAGTTCTGAAAGGTTGAAACTAAGTGTTTGAAAACTCAAAATCTTACAAAAAAAAGTTTTTTAAGTTCGAAAACTAAGATTTGCAAGCTTGCAAAATGTAAAAAAAAATTCAATAATCTCTGCAAACATTATGTTGTTTTTGAGTTTTCCTTCTTCAGAACAATTTTTCAGAGTTTCAAATTTTCCAGTGTTTTCCAGGTTTGAAACCTTGTAAATGGTGATCTGAAAACTGGTGTGCAAATGTGTGAAAAAAAGGTTTGAAACTCTGAAAATTGAGGTTCGAAAGGCCGGATCTTGTGGCGTGAAGATGCACGAGAACAAGACAAAAATATAGCACTATTTAGATGAAGCAATGATGGTGAAATATATGTGCTGGAGGTCTGGGTACTCCCCCAGAAGACTTTAAGCATTAAACTCGTAATTTCCTGCATTCTGGAAACATTTTCTGCTCCAATTTACGGTGGAAATGTCTGTTTTTTTATGAGGGAAAACTATATTGAATAGCATGTTGTTGTTTTTTTTATTGTTCATTCATTGTAGACAATAACAGTGAACTCCAGGATGAAGCTGTCCACAAATATATATGTCTTCTTCTTTTCGTCCTCCTGTGAGTGGTGAACACAGCATGCTGCCTTGTCTTCACTGCTTTAGGCCATAAAAGAAACAACAACAACACAAATAGTTGTTACTGGTTAACTACAGTAAAGTCAACTTTAAAATGACTCCACTACCACACATAAAACGTGGTTTAATAGAATAATCATATTTAACAAAAGCATACATTTTGGCTTAATAACTGTCAAGATTTGTCTGGTTGATAGTCTCCATTGATAGTTTACATGGGAACCTCATAGCTTAACAAATGACATAAAAAATAAAGGGAACACTTAAATAACACATCCTAGATCTGAATGAATAAAATCTTTCTTTCTTTACATAGTTTAATGTGCTGACAACAAAATCACACAAAAATTATCAATGGAAATCAAATTTATCAACCCATGGAGGTCTGGATTTGGAGTCACACTCCAAATCAAAGTGGAAAACCACACTACAGGCCGATCCAACTTTGATGTCAAAATGAGGCTCAGTAGTGTGTGTGGCCTCCACGTGCTTGGATGACCTCCCTACAACGCCTGGGCATGCTCCTGATGAGGCGGAAGATGGTCTCCTGAGGGATCTCCTCCCAGACCTGGACTAAAGCATCCGCCAACTACTGGCCAGTCTGTGGTGCAACGA